TGGAGAGGCAATTTGTGAGTTCGTTCCATAATCCCTTTATCTTGTCCCTACGTCTTGCATTCATTTCTTATTTCGAATATTCATAACTTTACTAATAATTTCGTAAATTAAGTTACAAAAAAGTTTTCTTTTTCGAATATACCCCCTATTTTTATTTTACTGTCCCACTTTCATAAATATTGCATAAATAAAGCTATTTTAAATCATTTTTATATCGCATTTCAGTGACTCGCATAGGCGAGATCCCGTTATTACGCGTTGGCTCGCTTGCTATATACCTACTATATCTACGCGTGCCGACTGCCCACACTTGCGCTGACGACGCGTCAGCTGGTTGCACCGCACGCTTTGCATTGTTTCGCTTCACCGCACTTACACATTTAAGTATTCGTTTCTTTTGTCATTTTTACGTTTTGCAATCATTAATTTGGAAAGCTATTTAACATATTTAATATTATATAACGTGTAAAAGCTGTAATTTCACCTACCTTCACTTTGTTTACATACCTACCTTCGCTTTGTCTACATACCTACCTTGCCTATTAAATAATTTAGAATTGTTAATGCAGTTTATTAATAATGTCCAAGTTAGCTGAATTAAAAAGAAAACGCAGTTCCTACAAATCTAAACTTACGCAATTTAAATCATATTTGTCTTTGCTTTCAACTTGCGAAAAACCTAGCCTTGTACAGCTTAGTGATCTAAATCTCAGACTAGCGAAAATAGAGGAGTGGTAAGGTGAATATGATGTATTACAGATTGAAATCGAAAGTTGTATGGATATTTCAGAGACCGACTCCGAGAAGGAGTACCTGTACCGCGAACAGTTCGAGACAGAGTACTTCGCGACAGCTGGTAAGCAGGTTCACCTCTGCGCAGCCTGGCCACGACGCGTCCGCCTCCTCGGCGGCAGGTACTGTCCTTACAACAGGTGTGCCAACTTTAAATCTACCAATTATTCAGCTACCTACCTTTTCTGGACACGTTGAAGATTGGCTTAGATTTCATGACACTTTCACATCACTTATACATTCTAATGATAGTATTTCGAAAATTAACAAATATCATTACTTGCAGTCTTCATTGAAAGACAAAGCGGCAAATGTAATAGGTTCTTTAGAAAGTTCTACAAACAACTATGACATTGCGTGGAAATTATTGTGTGAGCGTTATCACAATAATAAAGTTCTTATCATTAGACATCCAAGCTTTGTTTGATATAGAACCAATAGCAAAGGAATCATTTGAGTCATTAAGAAATTTATTAGATTCTTTGAATAAAAATCGCAGAGCTCTTGAAAGCCTTCAAATAAACACACATGATTGGGATACACTCATAATACATATGGTGTCTAGTAAACTTGACAGTAGTACTAATAGACATTGGAAAGAATACACAAATAGATTTGAGGCTTTGCCAGACTTAGATAAGTTTGTTAAAGGACAATGGGCAAAAATGCATGGCGCTTGTCCCATCGGCGGCCACATCTGTCCTATATATTTTTTAGTCGACAAATATGTATATATTAAGACTGCAAAAAATTATTTCGGCAACTTGTTTAGATAAAAAGTTATAAAGCGTTGATCATATAAAAAAATCGAATTAATTAAACCGAAAGTACGTAAATGACAAAACGTAATGCATATCTTAGTATCAGATAATGATGGATTAAATAAAACTAAAGGTTTATTGGTTATTAAATACATCGATTTATTGACAGACACATATACAATGCTAGTATTCCTTTAAAAAAAGAAAATGATGGGATTCAGTTGTCGTCTACAATAACATCGTTTAAAGAATGAGCTGGTAAACGGATCTCTTCCCCTTGGTTTCTCGCCCACCCACCACACACATAATGTGGGCACAGCAACCAAGAGTGCGTTTACCGCTTAGACAACTGCAATAGTAGTTTTCTATGGCTTCTCTGCCGCTTTTCTCTCTATCTACTATAATGTACGAATAATATATTTTTGACCTAGTATGTCTAGATTGTATTCGACATCTTAGCAGCCAAACATTTGTTGCTGTGATGCCGTACCTGCCTAGGCCTGTAACATCGGGGTCCCTATACGTTTCTATATTATAGAGACCTTGTCGCACATGCTCCGCATAATAGCTGCGGGCTAGCTTCACTTGGTATGTACCAAGTGCAAAAATGGTTAAATCCTCCTCAGTCAGCAAAGGAAAATCACTTATGTTAGGTTGGTTTCCTGTAATGCTATCGAAACTAGCCCGTCTACGATTAAGGTTGTTGGCTAGGACATACTCTGCTAGGTTATTTGGTTGGTTCATTCTTTGGTTTATAACCTCTATAAATGTTTCAGCGTGAACGCTATCTGACAATGGTTCTCTGCAAGCATTTAATAATGCAGCACCTATTCTAAAATCTGTCATTGTATGAGGCAAAGCACGATTGAAAAAGTCTTGTCGGAATAGTTTAAAATCGCGTTTAAACCAACCGTTTATAACTTCAACAACCCAGCGGCACATAGTTACCAACCTAGACTTATTCGCTTGTTCTGTCGTCAATTGATCTTCGTCTCGATTTTTTGATTTCGGTAAGTGAGCTTCATAACCATAGGCATGTAAGTCGTCGATTACGTCGCGAAACCCACGGTCTAAGATGAACACATCTCCATGTTCAAAAAACCAATGGAAAGGATTTCCTTCGTCGTCAATCATATTTTTCATTATTTGTGCATCTGATTCTATGGCTGAATATGGCCCAAAGGCATCTAAAATGTGGCCATCGCAGCACACTATTAAAAACGGTTTCAACAAATTCGTGTATTTGTGTAGAATGTATGATCGCTTTTGGAATAAATAGTTTGCGGACTTTTGTATATATATATAAGTGGCGTCTGCTATCACAATTGCCTTTCTGTTTAAGGCATTTGCATTTCCAAAAATTGCATTTGGAACTTGTAGGTTTCGGTTAGCTACATCAATTCTATTGAGATGATCATAACCAAGATGCCGGGGAACGAAGTCCAGTAAAAGAGAGTCTCTGGCGAACGTTAAATGTCGTTCTAGGGTTCTACGGCTCATATTAAAAAGCGTCGCCAGCCTTTCATTTGCTTCACCGCTTCGCAGTTTCATTAAGTAGCATGCCAAAGATGTTTTCGGGCGTGTTGATACGTTCGACAATGAAGGAGTTTGTTCCAAAATATTCATAAATTGGTCTCGACTAACGCCTAATCGGATGTATACTTCATTTGGGTCCATGTCATCTATATTATGAAAATCTAGTATAGATCCTCGAAGCACCGCGATTTTCATGAGGCTCATGATATGCACAAAATGTGTGGCATTGAAGTCGTGGAGCAAGTTAGGGCTGCAAATTATTGGATCCCAATCATTGGATACCAAATGATGATCGCAAACTCTTGCACTATTTGGAATATAAAAATTAAAATGAATCAAGAATGTCACTTTAATGTTATCCGGAATCCTTCGGAGATCCGTTCGTCTGCAGTTTTCATACATACAACGCGTTGCTATATTAGGGAGTCTTGAATATTCTTCAATATGTAATACACATTCGTGTGGACGGTCTTCTCTTGGCTGCGCAGCTCTTTCTGCCCGTTGCCAGCATGGTCGACAAATGTACTCCTGGCCATTGTATTGTATCTGAAAATGAGAGTATTACAATTAGTCAAAACGCTTAGTTATTTTCATTGAACGCTGTTCAAACAAAGCGAAATATAAAGAAAAATAATGATTTCGTTTGATGTACTTACCTGATGTTCAGAGGTCAGAGCTTCAAAGATATATTGGCCTACAGCGGGATGTTCTTCAAACCGAGCACGGGTTATTTCGTATCTTCTTCTGTTTATCACGGATCGATTACATAAAATACACACTTGGCGATTATCTGCCATTGTTATAGGAATCTGCTTAAAAAAAGTCCAAAAAAACGAGCACAAGTCACCAAGATAGATACTAACAAGTCCGATATGCAAGCCAGAGTCGAAAGAGATTGTCAAACAATAATAATCGCACAGTACTCAACGAAACAAATGTCAACGATGGACTGCGCTGTGCAATCGCCGAGTCGCCGAGTGCGAGCGGCGCTCGTCGCTGATTGGTTGACGCATGAAACATGGCGAGACCGATTTTAACAAAGGTTCTTAGACCTCTAATGGAAAAAGTATTGAATATTAGGATACATAAATAGTAATGAAAAAAAAAATAGTATTTTAATAATAGTATTTTAACTATATTTTTTTTCCCAAACGGTATTTCATATTACTCCTTGAACAATATTTGTTGTCAAAGATCTCCCCTTTCTAATGACACTAGTTTCATTGATGGCTGCTCATGGGCCGCAATGCCCATTGTCCTTTATATTGAGCATCAACTAAAGCAAGCAATACAATTAAATGAACTTATTTATAGTTATAAAATGTTGATCCAGCGTTCATTGGGCAATTTATGTTCACATGCTTGCCATCTAATGCCCCAAGACAATTTGGGAACTGCCAATTTCTTTCGAAATCTTTAGCAATTTCTTTCCATCGGTCTTCTGTAGGTTGTGGCATATTGAATAATGATAAAGTGGCAACATTTATATTTGTAATTTGGTTTTTGGTAGCAGACCTTTTTTTTATGTAAGGCAACACACTCTCTCGCTAAGCCGGTCAAGGCGACAACGTCCATTGTTGTACTGTGTGATATAATAAAATAAAATACGCAATATTCCGTCAACAAAACCGTTTTATTTCGCTCCATCCGCTGCAAATAATAACCTCAACAACAGGTTATGGGCCCAGAGGCCCGGAGCGAAATAAAGGAATTATTGTATAGCAGCTGTGGTAAAACGGCGGTGTGGTTCTGCGGTCAAGCAGTAGCATCGGTGCAACAAAATGGACGGCGAGGGCGATATTTTTGGGGCGTCTAACAATCGCCTGTTGTTGGAAAATGCCGGTAACTGGCATACATGGAAATTTCAAGTTAAAGTCATACTGAAGGCGGTGAATCTCTACGAATTGGTAGATGGCTCATTCAAATGTCCAGAAAATGATGACAAAGAGTTAGCCACGTTTAAAAGGCTAGATGCGAAGGCCCAAGGAGTTATCGTGGGCAGGCTGGGTAACACAGCTATGCTGCATGTGCAAAACTGTGAAACTGCTAAAGAAATATGGGACAAATTAAATGTAATTTATGAGCAAAAATCTGATGTGTCACTGCACATACTGCAGCAGCGTTTTTTCGAAGAAAGATATAACAGTTCGGAGGATGTGTCAATATTCATTGCAAAGGTCGAGGCAATTGCAACACAAATTAAACAAGCAAAAGGAGAAATTGCAGAAAACATGATTGTCACAAAAATAATAAGTTCTTTAGGTGATAAATTCAGACACTTTGTCTCTGCATGGGACTCTGTCCCATCTGAAAAACAAAATCTGTCGGAGTTGACAGCAAGGCTCATCATAGAACAACAACGGAATAAATTATACCAAGAAGGTGAAAATAGTAGTTCCACAGCGTTTAAAACGGATTCTAAAATTAGAAAATGCTTTAAATGTGGTAAAGTGGGCCACTACAAAAAAGACTGTAAAGCCAGAAACAACAAAAGTGATAAAATTGAAAATATACCATATTGTAAACATTGTAAAAAATGGGGACATACAAAAGAAAAGTGTTGGTTTAATACGGACAATAAACAAAAAAAAAACAGATGAAGAACAAAACGCATTTGTCACGTCAGTGTGTAGACTTACATCAAAATGTGTAAACAATGAATGGTTCTTAGATAGTGGTGCTTCAGAGCATATGTGCTTTACAGTGTACAGATTCATAAATTATAAAAAGTTGCTAGTGCCAAAAGACGTTGTTATTGGGGGTGGGACAATAATACAAGCTTTAGGTTATGGTGACATTGACCTTGAGGCATATGATGGTGAAAAATGGATTAAAACATTGATAAGCAGTGTGTTGTATGTGCCGAGCCTTAAGACAAACTTATTTTCTATGAGTGCTACACTGGATAAAGGTTAGAAGCTGGAGTCAACTGCCACTAAGTGTAAGTTTATCAAAAACAACAGTGTGCATGCTGTAGCCAAGAGACATGAAAAAATTTACAAAATGTTATTCAGACAGCAAGACACAAATGGCATGGTTGGAAAAGTGATGTCAGATCTGAGGGAATGGCAGGCAAAATTAGGTCACCAAGACATAAATCAAGTGAAAAGCATCTTGATAAAGCAGAATATAAAGTTTGGAAATAGTGAAGAAGAAACCTGTTTACCATGTTTGAAAGGAAAACACCATAAGTTCCCCTTCCCATCGAGTACAAATAGGGCAACGAAACCAGGAGAGGTAATACATATTGACATTGGAGGTCCAATAGAAGAAATTTCACTAGGAGGGGCTAAGTTCTTTCTACTCATCAAAGACGATTATTCTAAATATAGAAAGGTGTACTTTCTGTTTAAAACAGTAGTTGAAAGAAGTGCAAGTTAACCCCGGTCACGTAGTGAAATACATAAGAAGTGATAATGCGAAAGATTTTATTAGTAAAGAAATGGAAAACTTGCTGAAGTCATATGGGATACAACACCAAAGAAGTGTGGCATGTACTCCACAACAGAATGGTTGTGTAGAGCGTGAGATGAAGACAGTGGTTGAGTCAGCACGAACAATGCTACTAGAGAGCGGCTTAAATAAGAACTTGTGGGCAGAAGCGATAAATACAGCTGTCTACGTCATCAACAGAACTGGTCCGAGTCGAGTAAAGGACAAGACACCATATGAACTTTGGTGGAACAAAGATTTTGATGTCAACAACCTTCAAGTCTTTGGTAGTCAAGTATCCGTACATACTGTAATATTAAAAAATTTTAAAAAAATGTTTCTAAATGTAATGTAAGTGTTAATGTAATCTATGTTCCAAATAAATGAATAAACTAACTGGTGCGGCACCACAAATTCTAACAAAACTAATAATCTCCGGCGCCAGGTGCCTTAACCTTAAATGAACACAGACAACTAATAACAAATACAATAATTACCTGGATCAGCTCGGTCAGCGCTAGACCTTTAATCTAGGATGGGGGCAGCTATTAAATAAAGAGATGTTATAAGCTTAAGTGGCAGTTTATTATCCCGTAGTGTCTGTAGAGTACATGGTATATTATAGGTCTAATTACAAATGTAATTCTTATACTCAAATTAGTACTGTCATTAATGCAATCTGTTAACCTTGTTAATACAAGACAAAGACTGATGAATAATTAAGAAACTAAAGGTAGTTATCATAAAGACCTTATGACAACGCCATCAAAATTAATAAAACAAAGAAACATACCAATGACTTTGGCTGGCTGTTTGAAATTAGGGTATAATTAATTCTTATAAAGCTCACTCGTGCTCTCACGTGGTTGTGGTGGCGGGGTAAGTAATCCAAGCTTCCTGATAATGGGCTACAGCCAAAGGGCTTTTCCTGCCATTAGCGGTACTTAAGAAGATAAATCCACACTCCGCAGCAAACCAAATCCTTGGATCGGGCAGGCAGTGAGGTAAAAACCAATTGTAACGCAAGGACATTACAATCTAATAAGAAAATTAAAATTGAGGTAAAAAAAAACCCTGTTGACACTGCAACAACGAAAATTATAGGTTATTTGTCTATCTCCAAAGATGAAGTCAAAGTCTGGTAAGATACAATAATTTACTCACCAGGGTTCCAAATCGTCTCACAAATAAATCAGAGGCGTTACTAATAATTCCTGTAACCAAATAAACAAAGATTTAAAACAACTAGTCTCCATAAGCCAAGTATGAAACATGTGGCGAAACAAAACTTACCAAAATAGTTAAAATGACAATTCCAACAAACAACTCGTTTCCTTAACGAGACTGGCCAACAATAAAAGGTGAATTACTCCTCTGATTGCAACGAATGAAAACGGATTACAAATGTAAAATATTATAATGGCTCGACCCTCCAATTTCACCCGGGCAGACGTCAAAAGTGAACATCCATGTTCCCAGAGCTAAAGTTCCGTTTCGCCCTAGAATGCGACAAAAAAAATGTTGCCAGAACAAGAAAAAACTAAAATCGAAAGTATGCCATAGTCGATTAGAGCGGACTAACAATTCTTGTCCGTGACGCCGTCTATCAGAGTTTACTGAAACGTCAGAAACTTACATTACATGCCTTCCCAAAAAAAAAAGAAAGGACTCTTTCTTTTATGCCGAAAAGTCAATACCCAAACAAAATATACAACAAACAAAAAGATTTGAAAGCATCTAAACTCCAAAATTGACTCTACGAAAACTTCACGAAAACTCTACAGACTCTAAGAATACAAAAATCCAATCGCAAAAGAAGGACTATGAAAACCAAATACACAATCAAAAACTCTACAAACAAAATCACACAAACTCACAAAATAAATCCCCAAACGAAACAACCATTAGGAATTGAATATCCAACAAAGATAACAACTTCCAAGGAGTGCGGTTGGACACCTTCGTCACCGACTCTAATGGAGCTATAAAACTGTACAAAACAAACCCCAGACAACAACAAAATAAACCTCACAAAACAACATCCATTAGGAATTGAATATCTAATTAAGATAACAATATCCCAGGAGTGCGGTTGGACACCTTCGTCACCGACTCTAATGGAGTTATAACACTCTACAAAACAAACACAAAACAACTTCCATTAGGAATTGGATATCTAATAAAGATAACAATATCCAAGGTGTGCGGTTGGACACCTTCGTCACCGACTCTAATGGAGTTATAAAACTGTACAAAACAAACACAAAACAACTTCCATTAGGAATTAAATATCTAATAAAGATAACAATATCCAAGGAGTGCGGTTGGACACCTTCGTCACCGACTCTAATAGAGTTACAAAAAATGCTTCACCCTAAAACTGGCAAAACGAAAAACACATTTCCAAAAATGCGAAAAAAAGGTTTATATATTCGACACAACAAGGCGGTGCGAATGTATAAAAACCTGTGTTGTATTGTGATCGGCTCAACACCACCGAACTACCGGGCACAATAAAACAATGTCAAACCAAAATATTCTACACAACAAGGCGGTGAGAATATATAAAAAACCTGTGTATTGTGATCGGCTCAACACCACCGAACTACCGGGCACAATACAACAGAAAGCAAACAAAATATTCAACACTTGGAAAAAAGCGTGAATCCAACAAACAAACCATTCCACCCTTGGAAAGAGGGTGAATATAATTTCAACAAAACATTTTACAGTGGGTAAAAGTGCGAATATAATACAAACTAAATATTTTTTGATGTTGTTCCTATTATGAATGAAGTTCCTAAATTAATAAACCAAAATGACCTAAGTAAACTTTTGAACTTTTAAAACCTAAAGTTCATATATTGTTATGAATTCCTCACACTACATCAACATACAAACTACCATATCCTAGCATACATCAATCTACATACTTCCTCACACAAAGGTAGAATCCAACAAATATATCAAATTAAGACCGAAAGTTAATGACCAAATAGTGAAATTTTTTAATACTTAATAATATCTTTAATGTGATAATGACCAATGGTGTTCTTTATAAGGACTTGCATAAGGTAAGCATTATCTGACATCTTCTCTAAAATGTTACACTTAACAAACTTAGGTGCATGCTTTGCCGAAAAATATGCTGGAGCGCTAGACTGAACAAAACTTCTTCTCCAAACAATATCACCAACATCAAAAGAAATGGTATTCCCATAATAGTAACAAATAATAATTTTAATATATAGTAATGCGCAATACGTTTATACGCTTTTAACAAATGTGACCGAACTCCAACAAAAATATCACTAAGTGATCTAAGAGAAAGGGCACAAGAATCCCTTTCAACAAACTCAAGCTGGTCTAAATTACCCAAAGAACTACTAAAACGGTGTAGAGAAGCATCAACAAATTAACTCTCTACCAAACATAAGAAGTTTAGGTGTTAAAAATATTAGGCCAAAATTTAAACCAAGAACAAACTTTAACAAAATCTAATCTTCTTCAACAAAACAGGAAATACAAGTCTCTACTGTCCTACCATACCTCTTCACAGGGTTTGGAGTGTGTACAAAGTGTTATAAAATACTTTTGCAATGTTACAACCCTTCACGAAATCCACAAAATTCCCAGAAGAGAATTGAGTACCATTATCACAAACAATTATTTTTAACCAAATTTAAGAAACTGTTGACGACTATTAGAACCAAGAATACAATAAACCCGAAAATTTATCCCTTCCAATTGAAAATTCTAAATAAGGCGCTTAACAAATAAAACAGGCGCAGCCCTAAAAACACTAAAGAAAATTTTCAAATAATCCAGCGTGTATGAGTATGGTGGCGGCACCACAAATTCCAATAAAACTAATAATCTCGGGCGCCAGGTGCCTTCACCTTAAATAAACACAGACAACTAATAACAAATACAATAATTACCTGGATCAGCTCGGTCAGCGCTAGACCTTTAATCTAGGATGGGGGGCAGCTATTAAATAAAGAGATGTTATAAGCTTAAGTGGCAGTTTATTATCCCGTAGTGTCTGTAGAGTACATGGTATATTATAGGTCTAATTACAAACGTAATTCTTATACTCAAATTAGTACTGTCATTAATGCAATCTGTTTACCTTGTTAATACAAGACAAAGACTGATGAATAATTAAGAAACTAAAGGTAGTTATCATAAAGACCTTATGACAACGCCATCAAAATTAATACAACAAAGAAACATACCAATGACTTTGGCTGGCTGTTTGAAATTAGGGTATAATTAATTCTTATAAAGCTCACTCGTGCTCCCACGTGGTTGTGGTGGCGGGGTAAGTAATCCAAGCTTCCTGATAATGGGCTACAGCCAAAGGGCTTTTCCTGCCATTAGCGGTACTTAAGAAGATAAATCCACACTCCGCAGCAAACCAAATCCTTGGATCGGGCAGGCAGTGAGGTAAAAACCAATTGTAACGCAAGGACATTACAATCTAATACGAAAATTAAAATTGAGGTAAAAAAAAACCCTGTTGACACTGCAACAACGAAAATTCCAACAAACAACTCGTTTCCTTAACGAGACTGGCCAACAATAAAAGGTGAATTACTCCTCTGATTACAACGAATGAAAACGGATTACAAATGTAAAAAATTATAATGGCTCGACCCTCCAATTTCACCCGGGCAGACGTCAAAAGTGAACAACCCATGTTGCCAGAGCTGAAGTTCCGTTTTGACCCAGAATGCGACAAAAAATGTTGCCAGAACAAGAAAAAACTAAAATCGAAAGTATACCATAGTCGATTAGCACAGACTAACACAACTCGTCCGTGACGCCGTCTATCGGAGCTTACTAAAACGTCAGAAAATTCAACTGTCAAACTAAAAACACGTCCATAATTAAATTTTCTGTAATGGTGCGAAAGGCACCGTTACAATATTCCTGATCAAAAACGATTTAAGTTTGATAGCAAAGCTGAATTTGGCTATTTCATGGGATACGGAGAAAATACAAAAGGATACAGAATATATTTTCCAGAAAGAAACATAGTAGACACCAAGAGAGATGTTGTATTTATAAAACAGTCTATAGAAAACAAAGAAAGAAACAGAAGACAAGAAAAGGAATATCACATAGGTTCTGAAAGTCAAGAAGAGACAGAACAAGTATCAGAAGAAGAAGAAAGCCAGTATGAAGACACAGAGAACCTTGAAACTATAGAAAGTGAAAATGAACAGGACTCCCCATCCATTCATTTCATGAGCAGTCAATATTAAAAGAAGTTATAGAGGAAGAGGTAACAAAAAGACCTACAAGGATGAGAAAACAGCCAAGCTTATTTAAGGACTATGTACAAGGAGAAGAAAACACGGCTCAACTTTCCTTTGCCCTACATCGAGTTTGGGCTTGAAATTTTTTTTCCACAAATGTTACACTATTATAAGCACTCACGTAAAACTTTCAACACGCGGAGACGCATATTTTTTGAACAAAAAAATATTGAAAATCAATTATTTTTGCAATTCTTCTGTCAAAATTGTAGTTTTTATGACAAGCTTTACCAAAGATTATATAGAATTCACATCAAGAAACGTTTAGTTTCATCTATGGTTAAGTTATCATACGTTTCGTAACATTTTATTTTACATAAATTTACGTAAATAATTATATTTGTACTCATTTCAATATTTTTCATGCACACATATATTTAACAGTTTATATATGATAAATTATAGCATAACAGTACCTGTTAGGGCAGATAACAAATAAATTAGGTTAGGTTCAACTTATGTCACAGAACCGAATTGATTGACCCCGACTCCACGTGGTACGACTCTGTCCTACGCCTAGAGTGTTTTTTTTAGAACCGGAGTCGCGTAGGGAGAGCAGCCTCCGCCCGCTGTAACAAATCGCAGGCATCGGACGAGCCGGAGCGGCTGAGGCTGGTCGCCGAAGGCGACCAGCAAGCCGAAGCTGCGGAGGCGAGGACGGATGCCTACGATTTGTTACGCAAGGGCGTAGAGGCTGCATTTCCCGCAGCGCCGGAGACGTTTCAGAAAGGATTTTTAAGTTTCGTTCCATTAGTCTGCTAAGGACGGTAAACACTACACATTTAATTTTTAATTTTAATAGCTTGTAATGAAAATAATGCAGTAATTTCATATATAAATATGTGTGCATGAAAACTATTTAAATGAGTACAAAATATAATTATTTACGTAAATTTATGTAAAATAAAATGTTACGGAACGTATGACAACTTAACCATAGATGAAACGAAACGTTTCGTGATGAGAATTTTATATAACCTTTGGTAAAGGTTGTCATTAATAGTGTAATATTGACAGAAGAATTGCAAAAATAATTGATTTTCAATAAAAAATTTTGCCAGCAAGGGTATTTTGCCAGCAGATGCTAAAGACACCGCTGATATATTGTTGTTTTTTGACCAGCTATTTGATGCAATGAATGGCAGCCATGGTAAAAAAAAAGAAGTACGGCAAGCCATTGTTAGGACCTGCAACGCCTACTTCAATTCACGTGAAAGTTTGGAGAGAATCCAAAAATATGTTGCAAAAGATGAAATTCCTAAATCGTTCAACACTGAGGGATGAATATGTTCCCACATTAAACAATTGGGTATGGACACTAGATGGGACTGAATTGTTATTAAAAACACTGCACTCAAAATATGGTGTAACATCTGTTTGGTTACGGCATCTAAACCAGGATCCAATAGAAAACTTTTTTGGGTGTATAAGGAGCCATGGTTGCCGTAACGTAAACCCTACACCAGAAAAGTTTGAGACAGCTTTCACAACCTTATTGGTAAACAGCCTATCTAGTGTTCATGCCCCTGGAGCAAATTGTCAAGGCGATGATTGTTATGCTCTTCATGAGGTACTCATTACAGGCAGGGGTAGTAAAGAGCAAATTAATTGCGAGCTTAATACTATTCCCGATATAACGATTACGCCTCTTGAAGACAAAAAAGACCCTCGTGAAATCGGAGGGTTACAATATGTAAGCGGGTATTTTTTTTAAAATGCAAAGACGAAAGTTTTCAAGGGGTGTGATCAATGTAAAAATGATTTGATGGCAAGAAACGAATACGAATACATAAAATATCGGGAACATGCAGATAAAAAATGGCTTTGCAACCCCAGCAACTCTCTCTTGAATTGCATATCAAATCTGCAGGATATTAATTATACTATTTTAAGGTCAAATTTACAAAAAAATCATATAAAAGAATTTATAAAAACAATCATTTTAATGCACCTAGATTTTAATTTTATTCAATGTGCAATACATAAAGAAAAATTAGTTGATTTTTTAATTCAAATATCCTGCAGATTTTTTATTCATAATTACTGTAAAGAAATCAATAAAATATTGGTTAACAAAAGAGAGTGTGATGATGACACTGACGAGTACAAAATCAAAGCTAAACGGCTATATAAAAAATGTTTTAAAAGAAAAATAAATAGTACAACATAAAAAAAACTGTTTTATTAAAACTACATTTAAATATGTTACATACCTCTACTACTGACTTATACATTTTAACATTTAAAACACTAGCTCTTTTGCATGCAAATTTCATCTATTTAGATGAAATTTGAAATTGCTGTCGGTTTAGCGGTTTAAATATTTTAAATGACAAATATTGGTAAATATGAGCAGTTCCTATACTAGTGCTATGCTATATATATATCTAGTTACATTTGTATATATGTGGGGATGGTTACAAACGATTCGAAGCGGATTTAAACTTATATTTTTAATTATATCTTAGGAGCACTTTTAACGATCTTTTTTCTTCTCACCTTCTTTTTGACAACTACTTGATGACAGCTAGTTTACGTTCAGAAACATATGTAAGTAAAGTAGACGATACAAAATAAAAACTAAAAATATGCAACACCCGACACGGCCGTCCTGTTCATTCATCTGCCTCAGATGAATCATCCTCCGGTGCAACCCAGGCTTTCATCAAATCAGCTGAGCTGGTTGTACACATTGGACCCTCTGTGTTTCCAACTTTCTTTACAGCGTATCTGTCGTTTCCTTTCCTTTTGATTATTTCGTAAGGTCCAAGGAACTTAGGAAATAATTTACTTCCTTGCGAGAACTGTGTCTTTTTGATGGCTACCAAGTCACCAATATCGTACGAAGCGGCTTCTTTTCTCTTCCTGTTGTAATTTCTTACGTTCTCTTCTTGAATCTTTTGTATAGATTCTTTTGCCTGCTGTCTAAGTTCTTGCCGTCTATGATTAAAAATCTGTATATTTTCTTTTTCTATTAATTTAAGTAGTTCATCGTCTTTATCTCTAATTTTAGTTCCGAAAAGAAGTTCAAACGGTGTCATGCCGATACTTCTTTGATAAGTCCCATTTAAACATCGCTGTAAACTCGACACTCGGCGATACCATTTGGTGGGATCATCAGCGCTAAGCTTGCTTAGTGCGGCAATTATTATCTGATGGACCCTTTCTACCTGTCCATTTCCTCGAGGTTGTCCAGTTGTTATCGTATAGTGTATAATATTTTCATCAGAACAGTACTCTTGAAAATTATTAGATGTAAAAGCAGCATTTCTATCTGTTATGATTATTTCAGGTAAGCCAAAAGTTTGTTGTTGCAGTCTTAACTTTTCTAATACTTCTTCAGTAGTTAAAGTCTTAACTGGGTAAATCCAAGTAAATTTCGTGTAGGCATCTACAACTGTGAGTATGTACTTGTAGTTTTTACTCGTTGATGATAACGGTCCAAGATGATCAACATGGTATGTCGATAATGGAACGTCTCCTTTGTCAATTGGGTGTAGAAATCCTTCCTTTTTACCTCGCTTGTGTGAAATAAGGATACATTCAACACAGTTATTAATTACTTTTCTAATCTATTCGTGGAGATTCTCAATGAAATATTCTCTTCTAATCAATCCTTCTGTTTTAGTAATCCCAAAATGTCCTCTCTCGTGATTTTTCCGAATTATCTCAAATTGCATCTTTTTAGGTACAACGATACCATTTCTGACCTTCTTTCTGTTTATAAAGTATTCCTTGCTGCATAACATAGTCTTCATAGTCGCTTGTCTCTAGAATCTTTTTAATTAATTTTATATGAGTATCTTCGTCTTGTGCTTTCTTCATGCGTGCTACGGTTTCGGTGATGATCAAGCATGCCGGATATCTACTTAATGCGTCAGCGTGTTTCATCCTTATGCCCGGTCTGTGCTCAATGGTGTAATTATACTCTTCCAACATCAAGGCCCATCGTACGACTCTTGGAGGTAGTTCCATTTTTTGAAGTGTCATTGTTAGAGCTGAGCAATCAGTCACAATCTTAAAACTGATTCCAAGTAAGTAGACTCTAAACTTCTTAATGGCTTGAACGATAGCTAGAATTTCCAAATGGTAGCTATGATATTTCTTTTCTGCCGGTGTTGTTTTCTTGCTCATGTATTGTACTGGATGCTTTTTATTCCTTTCGTGCAGGCAGGAGATTTATGATCCAAATCACCACAATTGTAACATCGCTTCGCATTAGTTGTCTTGCGAGCTAAATGGCTAGTCGATGAATGGTTAGAGTGTGTGGGTCTAGAAACCATCTTCTTTCTAAACTCGCTGTAGATATCTAACTTCTTACGGAAATCTTTTATATCTGATGCGCCGTATAGGATAGCTTTATTAGCATCCAAGTCTCGAATACCATCAATAACATATTCTATGAGAGCCGCATCTTCAACTTTACCATGTAGTGCTAATTCTTTCATAGAAAGGAAATACTGTTGAAACGTTTCATCATTCTTCATTTTACGCGAACTAAGTTTCTTATTAATCACTGCACTATTTATCTTAGGGCCAAATTCTTCTTTAAGTGCCTTCTTTAAAGTCGCATAAACCTTTACTCTTCCGAAAGACCTCAAAAATAGTTTAGCAGTTCCATCTAAAAGTCTCTTCGCATAAATCAGCTTTTCTACTTTTGTCCAATTCATAATTTGTGCGGTGTCTTCAAATTCATCAATAAATGTGTCCACTGGATACGTATCATCGCCGGTGAAAATTGTCATGGACTTCTCTAAATCTTTAAATGCAATTTGTACGCTTTCTAGTTCTTCATCTTCAGCCTGTTCGTCCTGAGCGTCTTTTTTCGGCGGCATGGTGATACTGGTAATACTTTTAGGGTTACTTTTACGACTTCGAATATTTTTCTTTGTTGTAGTACAAAACGATAATCTTCTTTAAGTCATCAAATAATAAAAATGCAACTTAAAATAGTTCCCCAAGAATCATCAAAAATAAACCACCAAGTCCGATCCAGTATCATAAAGTGGCAACATTTTCTACTATTCTACCACTGTCATCTGTATTTTGTAGTATGGCAATATTTTGAACCATAGATCGGTCGGTAAAACAGACACTGTATTTTTCAACTGTCATACGGTTTGAGATTAATATTTCGGATGACTTACTTCTTGTAATTATACATCTTTCTTCAATCCTCTTCAAACCAATACTTGTTAGATCCCGGACGAGCCCCCAAAAGATGTGGGGATGGTTACAAATGATTGGAAGCGGATTTAAACTTATATTTTTAATTATATCTTGGGAGCACTTTTAACGATCTTTTTTCTTCTCACCTTCTTTTTGACAACTACTTGATGACAGCTAGTTTACGTTCAGAAACATATGTAAGTAAAGTAGACGATACAAAATAAAAACTAAAAATATGCAACACCCGACATATATATATATATATATTTATATATAAATGTAGCTATATGTATAGATTTGTAGGTTGTAGTTACAAATCACGCGTTCAGAGGGCGACACTTGTGTGTTTCTCATTTAGTATCTAAGTGGTACCTCTATTTCATATTGAACAATAGTACTCTGTGCAACTACCCTTAGATTCATTTCCTATTAAGTCTTTATGTGACTTTTCAAAACATATTTAATTTTAGTTTGTTTTATTCAGTTAAACAGATTGCATTAACGACAGTACTAATTTGAGTATAAGAATTACATATAGTAATTAGAACTTTAAGATACCATGTACTCTACAGACACTACGGGATAATAAACTGCCACTTGAACTTAAAATCTTTGTATTTAATAGCTGCCCCCCATCCTAGATTAAAGGTCTAGCTAGCGCTGACCGAGCTGTTCGAGGCATTCATTGTATTTGTGGTTAGTTGTCTGTGTTCATTTAAGGTTAAGGCACCTGGCGCCCGAGATTATTAGTTTTGTTAGGATGTGTGGTGCCACCACAAATCCTAACAAAACTAACAGTTAGTTTATTCGTTTGTTTAGAATACAGATAACATTAACATAATACAATTACATTCAAATATTTTTTTTTTTAAATTTTTTAATATTACAACATATACTGTGCAAATAAATAACGCCATAGAACATGATATACCTCTTGTTCTGGGTGTAAACAATTATGTAATTCGTGGGAAAATGAAATCGAGACACGTAAGCAGTCGCTCATATTATACTTACCTGCTGATAAATAGAAATAAGGACACTGTAAATTGTAATATTAAAAAATTTAAAAATATTTATTTTTAATGGAATGTAATGTTAATGCAAATGTTAATGTAATCTATGTTCCAAATAAATGAATAAACTAACTGGTGTGGCACCACAAATTCCAACAAAACTAATAATCTCGGGCGCCTTAACAAAACTAACAGTTAGTTTATTCGTTTGTTTAGAATACAGATAACATTAACATAATACAATTACATTCAAATATTTTTTTTTTAAATTTTTTAATATTACAACATATACTGTGCAAATAAATAACGCCATAGAACATGATATACCTCTTGTTCTGGGTGTAAACAATTATGTAATTCGTGGGAAAATGAAATCGAGACACGTAAGCAGTCGCTCATATTATACTTACCTGCTGATAAATAGAAATAAGGACACTGTAAATTGTAATATTAAAAAATTTAAAAATATTTATTTTTAATGGAATGTAATGTTAATGCAAATGTTAATGTAATCTATGTTCCAAATAAATGAATAAACTAACTGGTGCGGCACCACAAATTCCAACAAAACTAATAATCTCGGGCGCCTTAACCTTCTCCACCGTGGGATCTGGAGGCGAGAGCCCTTGCGGCTCTGTATAAGTGGCGCAAGGAGGCGCGGGAGTTGGGTCGGTGTCCCGAGACTTGAGAAATCGATGACCGGAAATCACAACTCCGCCAGGTCATCATAGGGGAGTGGAAGGAACGACTCGGGCAACCGAGCGCCGGGCACGCCGTCATCGCGGCGGTAAGACCCGTTATGGAGGATTGGCTCGAGAGGCGTCACGGGACCCTCATACCGACTGACGCAGGTGATCACTGGGAAAGGATGTTTCGGGGATCACCTGTGTCTGATCCGCAAGGAGCCAACGCCTGAGTGCCACCACTGCGATGGCCAGACCGTGGACACGGCTCTCCACACGCTGGCAGAGTGCCCGGCGTGGGTTGAGCAGAGGCGAGACCTCGTGGCGGCCATCGGAGTGGGAGTTGTCTCGCTCGATAGCCTGATTGCGGCTATCGTGCGGAGCGAGAGTGCGTGGAACTCTGCCGTCTCCTTCTGCGAGCAAGTTATGCTCGCGAAGGAGACGGCGGAGCGGCACCGGGAGAGGTTCAGGACTCTCCCGGCCCGCCAGGCCCGGGAACGGGCCAGGTACCGCAGGCGACTCAGGCGCCGGAGGTCGCAGAACGACCTCCGGCCTCCATATGACAGGTGAGGCCATCTGTCACCCTAGCAGAAGCAGGCCGGGGTGGCGGCGAGCGCGTTGCGAAGCGCGCTCGCCTCCAAGGAGCACAGGGAACATGGGGTTCCCACACGGGGGTCGTCTACTCGTCTGTAGATGACCCGAGGTATGTCGGGGCACCAGGGACTTCCTTTCTAGAGTATACCTGGTTCCCCGGCTATTAGTACCCGAGACGGCGTGCGGTTTAAGTCGGTTCGAGTCCGACATGCCACCGACAGGTGGTATCCGAGGGGATTTCCGCACGGAAAAAAAAAAAAAAAGGTGCCTTAACCTTAAATGAACACAGACAACTAATAACAAATACAATAATTACCTGGATCAGCTCGGTCAGCGCTAGACCTTTAATCTAGGATGGGGGGCAGCTATTAAATAAAGAGATGCTTATAAGCTTAAGTGGCAGTTTATTTATTATCCCGTAGTGTCTGTAGAGTACATGGTGTATTATAGGTCTAATTACAAATGAAATTCTTATACTCAAATTAGTACTGTCATTATAGTACGGCCGCTGAGTTATTACCGATTTGACAGATTATTCTTAAATTAATCGATATAACCTTGCACGAGCGACACATTTGCCGAATGATTTAGAATACCTCTTTAATTAAAAACTTTATGGCAAAATGTCAGAATCAAGTAATTTTCCAATAAACTCTGTTTCAAAACTTAAAATAGTTTGCAAATAATATGAAAACATTTATTTTTTGTTCTTTGGAGCGCTTGTACAAAGTTACATCGTGCGTCTAGTTTTCATAGTGATGTGCTTGATAGTATTCGGTCCGAATTCATTGGAATAGATATGATATTTATTTTATTTGGAAATTTTTATTTTACTTATTCCTTCGAGCAACTAGACTAAATATAATGCTACCATTTTTTTGCGTCTCCTAATTGCACTGTGTTGCCAGTATCTTATCCCTAGAAAGATAACGTGCGCCTCGGAGGCGCCCGCGAATCGGATATATTGCTGTCTTTTTTCATCCAATGCGTGTACAAGGTTGTTTTTTCAAGCCAACTCAGTCGTCGATCAACACTGCCGAAGGACGACCGCTGCTGTTCGGTAAGTAACATAGTTTCGTTGCTATGACGACGCGTTGCGCTCGAGAAGCGCATGTTTATCTTCTGTGTAACTTTTATCCATTTCTATGTGATTTAGTTTTTGTTACTTTTTATTTATTTCTACATAAATAAAGTATATATAAAATTAGATTATTGTTACTAATTAGTTTAAATTGTTTTTAGGAACATATTTACATCATGGCGAGCAGAAGAGTATTGAAAGAAAGAGAAATTATTTCCTTTTTGACACAAGAAGATGAAATCCCAGATGATGGCAGTGACAGCGAAATGGAGGATCATGTAAGTGAAGACGATATTCAAAGTGATACTGATGACGAGTACATAGATGATGTCATTGATGAAAGCTTGAATACCTCAACACCTCCTGATGACACCTCAACATCTCCCAATGAAACCTCAACATCTGATGACACCTCAACACCTTCTGAAAATACTATACATGATCACCGCATAGTTATTCCGCCTCATAGAGTAATTAGAGGTAAGAACAATCACGTTTGGTCTACGTCTAAAGGTCAAAGTAGTAGAAGAACATCTGCAATCAATATTGTTATATTTGTAGTATGAAATAAAAGATCTAACGTTTATATGACGACATCTTGTTTTATTATTATGACTGCAAACTCATTCTCCCTGGTGTTGCCACAGCTCACACCTACATGTATTACATTCATATCGAACATCCCCCCTTGTATGACAAGTAGGATAAACAGTAACACACAAGTCTCTGTTAAGTTGGCACTTATCTTAAACTTAATAAAATTACTTTTAAACATAACAAAAGGTTACAGACTAAGAATAGCCATCTTAATACACACAATAATCTTTTAAATATTGCGGTGTCTTAACTACTCTACCTGACCTAGTAGTAAAAGGAACCTCAGTAGTAACATTTTGTTTCCTAGAAATGTTAGGAACAACATTATTATTTCCCAGTCTATTATCCCTAACAGGATCATCACTATCCAGTACTTCCCTCTTAATAACTAATTTATTCTTGCTAGGATTTATATGCTTTTCATTCCTTCGAACTACATTGCCTTCCTCATTCATAATTTTGTAAGATCTCGGTTTAACTTTCTCTAAAACTTTCCCCGGCAACCATGTTTTATTAGGCACATTCTGTATTACAACATTCTCCCCCTTTTGAAATGATTTTTTAGTTTTAGCTGTCCTATTATAATTCTGTGAATACTTTTCTTTAATTATTTTCATTTTTTCTGTGACATTAATAGGTAATTTTGGCTTTAATTTATCATATACACATGGTAATGTAGTTCTAAGGAGTCTTGACATGAGTAACTCAGAAGGACTGTACTCTAACCCTGCTACAGGTGTAGTTCTGTATGCTAACAAGCTCATCGCAAACTCTGTACCATCTTCTTTACATTTTTTTAACAAAGACTTTATAATTCCAACAGCTTTTTCAGACAAACCGTTTGACTGTGGATATCTAGGACTAGAGTGAATCAATTCGATATCATACTCTTTGGCAAACTTTTTAAACTCAAAACTAGAAAATGGCATATTATCACTTACACAGAACTTTGGAATACCATGAACTGACATAATTACTTTAAACTGTTTAACAACATTGCTTGCAGTTTTCTCTTTTAAATATTTGACCTCTACCCACTTTGAGTAATAATCAATTAATACCAAAAAATCCTTCCCTGAAAAGGTACAAATATCTACACCAACCTTGTGAAATGGAATATCTGGCACCTCATGAGACATTAAAGGCTCTTTTGCATTGGATGGTCTAAACTTTTCACAAGCTTTGCAGCCTAACACAAAGTTTTCTATGTCCACTGTCATACCTGGCCAAAACAATACCTTTCTAGCACGTTGTTTGCTCTTTACAACACCAGCATGACCTTCATGAATTCGCTTGATCATATCTTGCCTTAAATGCTTTGGAATAACTAACCTATCCTTATAGTATATAATATTGTTATAAACATGTATGTTATTTCTCAATTTATAAAAAATCTTTAACTCTTTGTTATAAAAATTTCTGTCATTACTAGGCCAACCATTGTTATACCAGTTGAGCACACTTTGCAAGTTTGTATCTCTCAATGTTTCATTTTTTAAGTTTTGTAATCTTTCTTGAGAAATAGGCAATTCTTTCTCTAATCCATACACTATTTCTGTACTAATAGTATGTATAATTTCTTGCAAAGTAGGCTCTTCCTGCTTGTTATCACAAAAGTTTCTAGACAAATAGTCAGCTATATACATCTGCGACCCTGGTATATACTTAATCTCAAAATTATATTTTAAAAGTTTGAGAACCATCCTTTGCAACCTGGCTGAAATTTTACTTATATCTTTTGTCATGATTGCTACCAAAGGCTTGTGGTCAGTTTCAATTAATATTTTGCGTCCATACACAAACTGATGATATTTTTCAACTGCCACACAGATTGCAAAGAGCTCTTTTTCTATAGGAGCCCACCTAGTCTGACACTCAGTATAGGACCTTGAATAGAATGATATTGGTCTCCCCTCTTGCATTAAACATGCTCCCATACCATTTTTTGAGCTGTCTGTTTGTAAAACTACATTTCCTTTACTACTTAACATTGCTAATGTAGGCGCACTAGTTAATTTCTCTTTTACCTCACTAAAAGCCTGCATTTGGGCTGATCCCCAGTTAAATTCTACATCTTTTCTTAACAAAACTCTCAGTGGATCTGTTATTTTTGAATACTGTGGAATGAACTTACTTAAGTAGTTACACATCCCTAAAAATTTCTGTAGTTGTTTTACATTTTTTGGCTCTTCTAGGCTAATTATTGCTTTTATATGATCTGGATCTACACTAATTCCTTCTTTATTTATTATCAACCCTACATACTTTACATGTTCTTGTCTATATTGCAGTTTTTTACTATTAAACTTAACATTATACATTTTGGCTCTATTCATTACTTTAGTTAGAATCCTATCATGGCTTTCTTTGTCCTTTCCTGCGACTATCAAATCATCGAAATATATCATAACTCCTTCTATATCTCCAAATATCTTAGTGTTCATTTTTTGCATCACTTCAGGTGCTGAGGAAATACCAAAAGGCATCCTATTAAACTTATACCTACCAAAAGATGTTCCAAATGTACAAAGATTTTTATCATCCTCTAATTTTATTTGAAAAAATCCGTCCTTCATGTCCAACACACTAAACACTTGTTTTCCTTGTAAACTATTATAAATCTCCTCTGGAGACGGTATCAAAAAATGCTCTCTTAAGATATTATTATTTAACTCCTTCGGATCTAAACATAACCTAAGAGACCCATCAGGTTTTTCAATAATTACTAAGTTATTACACCACTCAGTTGGACCCTCTACTTTTTCTATCACACCTCTTTTTTCATAGTTATCTAAGGTTTCTTTTAATTTATTTTTAATTGCATGAGGAACTCGCCTTATGGGTTTTATGACAGGAACTGCATCTTCCTTTAACTTTATTTTATATGTACCTATGTCACCAAGACCATTAAAAACATCTTTATACAGTTTTATAAAATTTTCTTTGGTTGAATCGAACTGTGAGAGACTTTCTACTCTTTTCACTAAGTTTAACTTAATACAATCAGGTAAGCCAATCACTGGCTGCACTGGTAAGTCAATAATATTAAATTTTAACACTTTCTTTTCATATTTGTAGTAACAGTCCAATTCAGCCTGTCCTACAGTGTTAATTCTTTCTCCATTATACACAATTAGTACATTTTTAGATCTTTTTAACACACAGCTATTATTTTTTATCTTATTATAAGTTTGTAAGGACAAAGTATTACAGTCTGCCCCAGTATCAATTTTAAAGTTCAACTCCTTTTCACATACCTTTATCTTGACTAACCACTGTTGTTTTATACTGTTATTAGTTATCACACTCGACATATAGAAGTTATTATCACTGTCAGTGCTGTCTTCTTCTTCTACGGCATGTACTTTCTTTCTTTCACTAAGCTTCTTCTTCTCTTCTTCTTGTTTCTTATTAAACCTGCACTGCTTTGCATAGTGGTTATACTTGCTACACACTGCACACCTCCTCCCGAAGGCAGGGCACTTTCTAGCCTCGTGATGTAACCCACACTTGTTACACAACTTGTTTCCTTCAGTTTTGCCTGTTTTTTCACCCCTGTGTCGGCTCCTCTCTGTAGTTTTTCTGAGCACATCCACACTCTCCTTCGCCGTACCAGCTATACCCTGTAATTGTTTTCTTCCAGCTTCTGCGGCCCTACAAATTGTTACAGCACGGTCCAGTTCTAAGCTTTCTTCCCGAAGTAACCTTTCTTTTAAAGCACTATCAGCAATGCCAATAACCAACATTATAGCCACTAGTCTGTCTTCCATTTCACCCAGCTCACACTTTTTTCCTTGGTTCTTCAACCTTGTCACAAAGTGGTCAACTGCCTCACCTTCCTGTTGCCTATAGTTAAGAAATTCATAGGTTTTGAGCACCAAGCTCTTCAGTGGCTCTGTATACGCGTCTAAAGCTGCGAATAAAGCCTGTAGCGACACTTTATCTTGCTCCTTTAGAGTATTGAACACATCCACAACTTCCTCACCACCTGCGTTGAGAAAAATGGCTATTTTGCGGTTTTCACTTATTTTTTCTAAACCTGCTGCTTCTACGTAAATCTCGAAAAGCTGTTTAAACTTTTTCCAATTGGCATCTGTCCCACTAAGTTTTAGACCTTTTGGCGGTCGTAGACCATCTACTGAGTAAACCGGCCACGTTTTTTCATTCGGCATTTTGTTTTACAAAGTATTACAATATTTCACTAAGATTTTATTTTCTCCACAAAGGTTATTATCACAATAGTTATATTTTCACTAAAGTTACTTGTTTTACTTAATTTTACACCTGACACCATGTTATATTTGTAGTATGAAATAAAAGATCTAACGTTTATATGACGACATCTTGTTTTATTATTATGACTGCAAACTCATTCTCCCTGGTGTTGCCACAGCTCACACCTACATGTATTACATTCATATCGAACAAATATAGTTCGTTGTAGTAGAGGTCCTAGTCGTATGTGTCGAAATATTTTTGAACCACTTTTATGCTTTGAATTATTTATTACGGATGAAATCATTCAAGAGCTTGTTCAGTGGACAAATGTGGAGATGTTGAAAAAGCGCACTGATAGTATGACTAGTGCTACATTTGCAGACACGAATCCTACTGAGATTAAAGCCTTCATTGGAATACTTACTCTCAGTGCTGCAATGAAAGATAATCATTTATCAACCGTTGAGTTGTTTGACAGTTCATTTACGGGCTCGAGATATGTAGCAGTTATGAGCAGAGACCTATTTGATTTCATTGTTAGGTGTCTTAGAATGGATGACAAGACTCTACGTCCTGCTCGTCGCCAACAAGATCCGTTTATACCAGTTCGAAAGGTTTGGGATCTGTTTTTAGCCCAATGCAAAATGAATTACTCTCCTGGAAGTAATGTCACTATTGATGAACAATTACTGGGGTTCCGCGGTAGATGCCCGTTTCGAATGTATATACCTAATAAACCAACAAAATATGGTATAAAAATTCCAATGATGAATGATAGTGGAACCAATTATATGATAAATGCGATGCCGTACATTGGAAAAGCTACAAATACAAACGGTTTACCACAAGGCGAATATTACTTGAAAGAGCTATCACGGCCAATTCATGGTACTAACCGCAATATAACGTGTGACAATTGGTTCACGTCTATTCCTGTCTCGAAATCATTACTTGCTGAACCATGTAAATTGACAATTGTGGGCACGGTACGGTCAAACAAAAGGGAAATTCCCGAAGAACTGAAAAACACCCGTTCTCGACCAGTGGGTACGTCTATGTTCTGTTTCGATGGACCTTTGACCCTACTATCATACAAGCCGAAGCCGTCGAAGATGGTGTATATGCTGTCCTCATGCGATGAAGGCGCTGTTATAAATCCTACAACTGGTAAACCTGAAATCATTATGTTCTACAACCAGACAAAAGGCGGCGTCGACACATTTGACCAGATGTGTTCTTCGATGTCTTGTTGTAGAAAGAGTAACAGATGGCCAATGACAATGTTTTATGGCATATTGAATATAGCTTTTATAAACTCATATGTTATTTACACACACAATGTTTTGTCAAAACAAGAAAAACCATTAAACAGAAGAGAATATATGAAAAGACTAAGTACTGAACTGTCAAAACCGTGGATGAGATCTAGATTGGAAATCCCTACTTTATCGAGGCGTTTGAGAGAAAACATTGAGAATATCCTGCCACAAACGAATCAAGAGGCTTCTCAAGAAACTGAAGAGGAACCTCCGGCTAAAGTTCGGCGTTACTGTAACTTATGTACTACTAAAAAAAAAAGAATGTCTAAGATGACATGTACAAAATGTAAAAAGACAGTGTGTGGTGAACATAAAAAAGATGTTTGCAACAATTGTCCTGGTGTTACCTATTTAAAAAAAAATCTACTTAAATATAAATACTTCCTATTTTTGTTACTTTTTGTTAAGGATTTAAAAAACCCTACGTAATTTTCTTAATAATAAAAATAATAATATATGTCGAATAATAAATGGAGGGGTTATTAAAAAAAAGGCAGACCCGCTGACCCAGTTGGGGCCAACGGTTCTGCTTACAATATCATAGAGTTTAATATTCCTTTCTTTGTAACTATTTACAATACGCATATGCAATCTAGTAAAATATTTGTATGAAGAGGTTCAGCAATAAAAAGCAAGTAAATTAAACATCACAGTATCAATTTATTATAAATCAAATTAACATAGTTTCACTTACAATGTTACGCCTTTCGGAGTCGCCAGCAAACTGAGCCTCTCGACTCAATTCGCTGGCTTTTATAATGCACTCCCCGCCATTCCAAAGTTTACGTCACATTAACACGTGGTTTTACAAATACCCACATAATTGAATACCTACCTAATTCTATGCAATGTCATAGTTAAACTCTAATTATGATTGTTTATCAAATCTAGAACTTTGTTATTGAATCAATCTGCGCTTAGTAATTAATAATTTAGAATAATGTTAATAAGTTAATCATCCATTTATAAATGCGGCGACACGGCCATACTGATTTGCGATGCGTGCTCTGCGTCGCGGAAACCCTTTCTGTAAGAGGGATATAATTTTATGAGGCTTGGCACTTCCACAGTACACACAAGCCTAAAACAAAGTGTTGACTGAACCATTGCAACATGTATCACTGCTCATTCCACATGACAACAGTGACAAAGATTATTACCTAAACTATTACTGCTCATTCCACATGACAACAGTAAAATAAATAATTATTACTGGATAATGATAGGTGTGGGTAAGGTAATTACTGCAAAGTGCAGAGGGCATAAAGGATAGTGGTAAAGGTCGATGCTGTGCTCTGGGCGGTCTTGTACGCCGTGGTACACAGGGGATTTTAATTTTATTCTTTCAGGATAGGTTCATTAATGGCTTTATTGGTCGGCTCCACACGCCAATAAGCATCTTTTTGCCTGAACATGATTAATTGGCTTATTGGTCGGCTCCACACGCCAATAAGCATCTTTTTACGTTCAGAGTCATATCAGTCGACTTATTAGTCGCTCCACGCGCCAATAAGCATTTTTTTTTTTTCTTTTTTTTTTTTTTATTATTATTTTTTTTTATTTTTTTTTTTGTTTTACCATAGTGCATATTAAAGAAGGAACAGATTGAAAAGTTCTCACCAGATGTTCAATCTGTGGGGCTAGAGGATTCGGATTCGGCAAGTGTATCAGATGTGGCCAGCGTGTGCAGCGCTGCCACCACACCCGAAGGTCCGGGTTGCTGATCATCTGGGGGCGACACGGTCGTCTGAGCGCCACCAGGTTGTGGGGCGCGGCGCAACTGATCGTGTGCAACTTTGCGCGCTCGTCCACGGTGTCCCACTACTTTTTTTACAAGGTAGCGGTCGTTTTCAAGCACCCTGTGAACTTCGTAAGGAACACTAAATTTGAGATCAAGGGATGTCTGGTTCCTAGGGTTATTTTTAATCATAACGAAGTCACCACGCTGGAAACGGTGAATTTTTGCGCGGCCACTATCAAATCTAGCCTTGTCTTTAGCAGATGCCTCGGTCATTCGCTGTTGTACATGCCGTTCGAGAGCTTCGAAGTTGATTGACGAATTGTCAAAGTTAACCAAGTTAAGCAGTTCTGGTGGTACACAGTTTTGACGTCGAGTAAGTAACGTAAGTGGAGCTACCCCTGTAGTTCTGTGTACTGTGCAGTTAAGAGCAAGTTGAAGGCTTTCTAGTGCAGTGTGCCAGTCTGGAGTCTCATAATTTTTTATCATGATAAGGCTGTTCTTTAATGTTGCCATCACTCGCTCTACTTGCCCGTTAGCTCGGCTGATTAATGGGGATATAGCGTGAATATTTATGTTGAACATGTCACAATACTGCTTATATTCCCCTAGGAACTCACGTCCTCCATCTACGACAACTTGTCTAGGAAGGAGCTCCGAAAAGATGAATTACTTGTTTTAACGCTGCTAGAGTGCTGTGTTGACTTTTGTCATTGGTGTGGCGAAGCAAAACATATTTAGTAAAGGCATCAACTGTTACCACAACGTACTCCTGTTCATGTGGAGTACCTAGCTTACCCGTTACGTCCATATGTATCACTTCGAATGGCACAGTTGGTTTGACGATAGGATGCAACTGTACTTGCGTTGCGCCGGATGTTTGTTTTGATGTTTTGCATATAACGCAGTTATCAACAAAGTCCCTGACGATGGTACTCATTTTGTCAAAATAGTAGCATTCCCTAATTTTATGAAGGGTCTTCTCCCAGCCTGTGTGTTTAAGAGCACTGTGAAAGGTATTAATTAGGCTCCACTGGAAAGATTTCGGTACAACAATCAGTCTTTGCGTGCCAAAAATGGGATCTTGTTTCTCAAACTTAAGCACGTTGTCCTGTAGGTGGTATCCGGGGACTACGTCACCTCTACTCAAGGCATCTATAATACTGCGCAAATGGCTATCGCGACGCTGTTCGATGTTTAGCCAGTCCAAGTTATTAGTTATTACGTTTACTGTCAAGGGATCTGGATTTCTACCTAGGAAGTCTGCATGTTGCATCCGCTCGCCCTTCCTGTATTCTATGTCAAAATCAAAGTTTTGGAGGTATGCCCACCATCGATGGATACGGGGTAACAAGTCCTTCTTGTGTTTAGAGACTTTGAGAGCGTTACAGTCGGTAATCACTTTAAAGTGTCGTCCATACAGGAAATGCCGAAAATGCTTTATAGCTCGTACTACAGCCAGAGTCTCCGGTTCGTACGAGTGATACCGACTTTCCGTGTCCGTCGTACGCATGCTAAAATAGGCCACAACGTGTTGCCGACCCCTAATGACCTGTACAAGTATTGCTCCAAAGCCGAGACTACTTGCGTCTGTGAATAGTTCGATAGATTCGCCTTCTTGAAATATTGTAAGGACAGGTGTTGAAGTTAGATGATGGATAATCTTTTGACGTGCCTCCTCGTGAACATGAGTCCACTGCCACCTCACGCCTTGCTTAGTTAGCTCGTATAAAGTGGCCATTGTGCGAGCAAAATTTGGTATAAAACGGCGAAAATAACCTGCTAGGCCATTAAATTGACGTATTTGTTTGGCGTTAGTTGGTACCGGGGCTTTGACTAAGGCCTCCACCTTTTTAGGACTAGGACGTACCTGACCGTTTTCTATTACGTTACCTAAATACTCAATAGATCGCTTAAAAAATAGACACTTATCGATATTGATCGAAAACCCTGATTTACGTAATGCTATTAGAATTTGTTCCAGGTACCGAAGGCCAGACGGAAAATCGCGACATTTACTAATAACATCATCGATAAACACCTGAGCTACGCTGTCGTTATGAGTCTTGTTAGCACTGCCCGGGTTTAAAAGATTACCTAGAGCACGATTAATGCACCTTTGGTAGACTGCTGGTGCATTGGTTAACCCGAAAGGCATCGTTTTATAAGGGTATAGTCCATCCGGAGTGATAAAAGCGGTTTTTTCCATTGAGTTTGGAGCAACTGGGATCTGATGGAAACCAGATGCCATATCTAAGGTAGAGTAGTATAGGCCACCAGCTAATTGATCAATCTGGTCAGCGATTAAGGGTATAGGATAATGATCGCGTACAGTATTAGCGTTCAATTCTCTGTAATCCACGCACATACGGTCATCGCCGTTCTTTTTCTTTACTAAAATTATTGGGCTAGAGTAGGGAGATTTACTTTCCTGAACAATGTCATTTTCGAGCAATTCTTTAATAATTTCTTTTACTTTTTCACGTTCAACCGGGCTTAACCTATAAGGTCGTCTTTCGACAAACTTATCTGGATTTTTGAGACGAATCTCCAACTGACCAGTGTTGACACGCGTCTTTGAAAAACCACGAGTAAATACATCAGGGTATTTATTGAGTAGTATGAGAAGTTCATTAACCTCGTTTTCATTACTAAGGTCATGATTTATTTTGTCAAACAAGTCAGTTTTAGTTTGCACGTGCATGACGCGGGTTGGGGAACACAAAGTTGCGCTATTTTGCGTGACAATTACGCTTAAACCTGTATTACTTAATAAATTTGCACCTATTAATACGTCCGACGTCATTTCGTAATCCGGTAAAACATGAAATTCGATCTCTACGCTTATATGATCAATGACACACACTGTTGTCAGCATATTAACAGAAACAACAGGAAATGGTCCTATTCCGCGTAAATAGTTAACGACCTGTCTTCGGCTTCCCGGCAATTTGTTTGCAACAGATTCGCGGATCAATGAGCATTCGGCACCACTGTCAAAAATGGTATCAATAACTACGTCACCTACTCGCATACGCATGGTATTTAAACTATACTTGTTTTTGGAAACGGAGTTTACGTTAGAGGTTATCTGTTTGTCGCGGCGGAAACACGTATCAAACGTATGGCCAGTTTTTGAACAGAATGAACAAAACCTATTGTCGCTTTGCCTAGGTACCGGCGTCGATGGAGTATCAGGGGCCTTATTATTTGCGTGTTTGTGAGAGAATATTGGTGTATTGTTATGGCGGCAGTCACGATTAGTATGACCCGATTTTCTGCAGAAGTTACAATAAGGAGTATTTCGATTGTCAATTGAATATTTAAAACGTTTCAAAGGTGGTGGATTGCAATTTGCATTTGCACGTTTAATACGTATGGACGATGCGACCGAAATCAACTCTGGTACCGAGGTGGCTCTGGCATTCATCAGTTCTATTCTGAGACGTTCATCACTTATAGTTCCTATCACAGCTTCCACAGCATCAACATTGTCCAGCCTATCCTTTGTGACGCGTCTCCACAGAATCCACGACTTCGATAAAAACACCGCGATATCCATAGAAGGGTCATAATTATGTTCCTTAAACTGCAACACATCACGCGAGTAACGGTTTTCAGGTTCAAATGTTGTTATAATTTTCTGACACAATTCGTCCCAGGAGGACGTAGTAACAAGCCAATCATCAGCCCACATCTTAGAACGGCCCCTCAGTAAGCTAGTAACCTTCATACGTATATCGTAATCATATGTAGGTAAAATTCAGGTGGTACGTTACCGCTCTGCTGCTGTAGCGTTATCAAGTCGCTATTTGATGAAGTACTTGCACTGGCATTATCTGGTGTATCCTCAGGACACGCTGGCGTAGGTGGGACAACCGGAGACATGTTTTGCGCCATTCTAGTGCGATAGTGCGATTGGTTACACAAGTGACGTTTAATGTGGGTAGTTTGAACCTGAAAATTAAAATATTAACGACAGTAGACTGTAGGCAAGTATCCCACTTCTGATGTCGAATAATAAATGGAGGGGTTATTAAAAAAAAGGCAGACCCGCTGACCCAGTTGGGGCCAACGGTTCTGCTTACAATATCATAGAGTTTAATATTCCTTTCTTTGTAACTATTTACAATACGCATATGCAATCTAGTAAAATATTTGTATGAAGAGGTTCAGCAATAAAAAGCAAGTAAATTAAACATCACAGTATCAATTTATTATAAATCAAATTAACATAGTTTCACTTACAATGTTACGCCTTTCGGAGTCGCCAGCAAACTGAGCCTCTCGACTCAATTCGCTGGCTTTTATAATGCACTCCCCGCCATTCCAAAGTTTACGTCACATTAACACGTGGTTTTACAAATACCCACATAATTGAATACCTACCTAATTCTATGCAATGTCATAGTTAAACTCTAATTATGATTGTTTATCAAATCTAGAACTTTGTTATTGAATCAATCTGCGCTTAGTAATTAATAATTTAGAATAATGTTAATAAGTTAATCATCCATTTATAAATGCGGCGACATATACATTTGTGTTTAATTGACTTCTTATTAATCTAAGACCTCATTGAAATTATAATAAAAAGAATAATTATTTCAGTTGGTAAATAAATAGGTTTTTAATATTGTGCGCCTCTCAGGCGCATGTTTATCTTTTCAGTACTACAAAATAACGTTATCTTTCTAGGGTTAAGATTTTTAAGATTTATGTGTGATCTAAAGACAGAAATACTGTTTTCTATGATTTAAAAATAAATACAATTAAAATGATTATGTATAATTTTTAACATTTATAATATATAAAACAACATTTAATAAATATAATTTTCTCCCTCAATTAAGCAATGTTATATGTGTATTTTTTTAAGTAATTGGTGATACTATTCTGGCAACACCCTTACCACCGCTATTTTAATCTGTTTCGTCGTCTTCCGTACTCTCGTGCGCACAGACTACGTTCTCTTGTGTAACCGTT